TAGTGGATAAGTGGAGCAGTTGTAAGCTGTGGGTTACCTCTGACAGCAGCCTGATAGGGTTGGGCATCGTTTCATTTTGAACGATTCCGATTCCAATTCCTCGTTTCGATTCCGGTTCCTATCGATTCCGATTCTTTCAAGACATGACATGCTTTAAATGAGCCAGCTAACCACAGGTCCTACTGGATGAAACAATCTTAACTTCAACATGAATTTTAACTCTATAAACAACAACATCACCTTCATTCAGACAAAAACATGTTTTGGAGACAAAAAGAAGACGACTTGCAGCACGACCAGTGTGTTTGTTTCTGACCACAACCAACGTCTGGAAGCAGCCTCTGGGATGAGAGGCTAAATGTCTCCAACATATCCAGAAACGTGCAGCTGTTTCCAGCTAAAACTCTCAGGATGATCATGTCCAGGATGACTGAGAACTACACCTCCATGCTGCAGCAGCTTCAGTCACAACAGGAAGTGAGACTTAAACGTAGCTGCTGTCAGTAACAAGCGAACAGATTTAAACATTAAAACTCAACAGAAATAGTTCAGAAAGGAAATTAAAATGTTCACAACTTTGTGTGTGATTTATTATTATTATTATTATTGTTGTTAATTGTGGTTTAATTAGGTTTTAAACTTACCCGGACACCGAGCTCTCTCCTTCCTCGCTGATGATTCTGACATGCTTGCGTTTAAGATGCTGCATCATCACTGCAGCACTCCCGTGCCATGCTAAGTCTGACCTACTAACGTTGCAGGTAACGAATGTCTTCGCCTGATTTAACTGAAAATGCTCCCAAACTTTAGAAGTTTTTACTTTTTTGGGTCTCGCTGCTTCTGCCATGTTCCTCTTCCAAACACCTGCCGGCTTTCCCTCGCGCTGATCTGACTTGCTCCGGTCTGCGCGCAACGGCGGGCGGGAAGGGGGGGGGAGGCTTTGGAAGAGTTGTGCGACACAATGAATCCATGACGCAGTTTGTTACCAACGCTTTTAATAATCGATTTTCATCGAATTTATCGATTCGTTGTTGCAGCCCTAATTCTAATGGCCTTTTACTGTATTATAGTCGTGGTCTGTAAGTTACTTTTGTGTGTGTTTCCCCAGACCTCTACACAGTAACTCATATATGGCAGTAGTAAAGCACAGTATAACATGTGCAGGGCTTTCTGATCCAACATCATCTTTGCTTTCCCCAGGATGGCAACGACCCGTGCCAATTTCCCTCGAACATAAGTAACAGAGCTTATGGTCAATGATCACACCAAGAAATTTAATTTCATTTACTCTTTCTAAATATACATTGGCTGTGTCTCAATTCAGGGTCTGCATCCTTCGAAGGACCCAGCCTACTCGGCCGACGTGGGCTGGGTCCTCCGTCGGCCGAGTAGACCGGATGTTAACGGCTGTGAATTTGGACAGGCCTAGCCTTCGTGAACTCCCGCCACTCCCTCGGCGAACGTTCCGTCGCCTAGCAACCGTGGAACCGCTGAGCAGAAGGGAAAAGAACTTTAAACGATGGAGCTCGAAGTTTTATTTAGATCTTTAATCATTTCCTTGACTGTTGGAGAGCTAATTCAGAGAAAATACTTTCGACAAGCTGAGCCTGAGCAAATATGTGATAAAAGTTTTTAATACTTTCTAAGGGTCTTAATTTGACCAAAACCGATTTATCACCTTTTAAGACTTTAAGACCCAGCGGGATACCCTCTAGCAAGGGCGTCAGTTTGTTTTCAGAATTGCTGGGGACAATAACCATACACTTGAGTGGGGTTTAAAAATTGCTGGGGACAATAAAGTAGGCTAGCACAGGGGTCGGCAATCCGCAGCTCTGGAGCCGCATGCGGCTCTTCCATCCATCTGATGCAACTCTCTGTGCTTGTAAAATAATAAATGGATATTAAAATAAAATGCTTTATATTTTACTGCATTAATTTTACATCTGTATGCCAATTCTAAATGTAGATTGTCTGCGTAAACCTGAACAGGTCCAACCCGGTCTGCGGTGGTTGACCGGTCACGCTTGTGCGTAATCATATGGGCACTTTATGAGCTGAAGAGGATGTGAGATTCTGGGCTTCTCCTCAGACGGCTCCTGGATGTGTCGCCACATTGGAGACAGGAACAAGCACTATTCAGCCAAAGTTTCATAATCAGGGAACATTTTCTAAGTGACAAGTCTCTCTGAGAGACGGGGTTTGGAAAACACTCGCTTCAGTGGGAGGAATCTTCCCGCATGCGCTCTGGTTCTCTGCGTGGCTCTAGGGTTAATCAAGTTTAATTGTTTCTCTTTGCAACAATCTTCACAGGAAGGCAAAACAGTTAAACGGCAGGTTTCAGATATTTCCATATGACTGTTTATTTTGACAGATGTACTCAAGGATGTTGCTTGGTTTGAAAAAATTACCCCGACGCACACGGATGCTCATGGATGAGCTGACATTTTAATCGTTAACGCACACGCGGAGGAAAAATATTTCCATCAGAATATCAGAGCTCTTTATACTGGACACTGTGTTCAGCGCGGCTCGGAGCGCCCACGGTGGACAGTGAGCTGAAGATCTGGGGTTCCAGCGCAGCGCAGAACCACGCGCATGCGATAAGATTTCCTCCCACTGAAGCGGTCTGGAAACCCGGTCTCTCTGAGGGATGTGTCACTTGGAAAAATGTTCTTTTTATGAAATTATGAAACTTTGGCTGAACAGCGCTTGTTCCCGTCTTCCGCATGAAGCGTAGAGACATTTGATCACGCACAAAGTTTATGTGGAGCAGAAGCGGTCGGGCCACGGCAGGTGGAACGTTCCTAGCCTACATGAAGTGAAACTGTTTAATTGTAACATTAATGTGTTACTGGACACGCTGGTCTGGTTGGTTAGACCAGTGTTTGAAGTGGAAAACACACATACACACCAATTAAAATATAAAATAATGTTGATAGCATGGACTAGAAGACAGGTGATGGTTTACGTATTTAAATGATGATCAGGCTGTAAAATGTAATCTCCATCCACATCCAGACACAATTATCCTCTATTCTGTCTCTAGTTGCTCTGCTCTTGTCTGGGCTGATCAGCTGATGGTGCGCCTAACTAGCGGCTGATGCACATTTTACGCATTTGGAGAGGTGGGCTGGATGCTTTGCGTTTACTGGAAGATGGTTAACGCACGGGTGTAGACTACATATTAATGACAAATGAATGAAAATTAAATTGTGAGTTTTTACTTCATATTTTATAAATAAAAATGACGGGGGAACACATTTATGACGTCTTTTTAAACTAAATTTTCTAGCGCGACCTGCCTGCTTCACTTAAGTCACTGCTTATTAAGGTCCGTCCAGAATTACCGTGGGAAATGGGTAATAATGGCTCTTTGATGGGAACAGGTTGCCGACCCCTGGATAAGATCTGAGCTGGTAAAACAAAAATCCTCATCAGCAGGCGTTTTTGAAAGTGGGGGGGACACAGCTGCCAATCACAAATTTTGCCGGGGACATGTCCCCGGCGTCCCCGGTTAAAATGATGCCTATGCCCTCTAGTAAACAATTCTCATTTGTAAACAACAAATAAAATTCAAGAGTTTAATGCAGAACTGATTTTATTTAGATATTTATTTTATATGTACATGTTTAATCTTTATTAACCATTTTTTTTCTAGCAAAGTAAAAAGCTGTCAAAGTTCTCCCTTCTCTCCTGTGCCCTCTGCTGCTCTGCCTCCCTCTGCAGCCTCATGTCCTCCCTGATCAGCTCCAGAAGCTGGTCATCGCTGGCACCTTCCCCTGGATGCCCATTTTCTCCAGAATAGTCTTAACAAACATGCAAGAAAAAACAACAGGAAGAGAAAAGAGGACGACGGGTTATTCCTTTCATGTTTTCGCAGAAAAAAATAAACTCAAACGAGTTTTTAAAATAAGAGATGTTATTGTACCTCCATGCCACAGCCGCCGAATACTTTGCTCCGGTGATCATGTGGTCCATCTCCGCCCTAAGCTTAATAAATTCCCTGGTTTTCTCTTTTGTCCCTAAAATACAAACTTCTATTAAAATCAGGGGGAAACGTAGCGGGAGAAGTACGACACCGAGCGCGGCCGAACATACGAGCCGACACCGCAATACAAGCACCTTTACTGTAACATTTCTAACTAAAATAACGTTCATGTATCACAAAAAGTCCTTAACCTAACAGTTTAAGTTTATACTGACATTTATGTGCGCAATCCTCTCCGACAGCTCCCGCTTCACTGTCCGCCATTGCTTTTAAGTTTTTCTGCCGGCCGGCCCGCAAGGCATCTTGGGAAATGCTACCTATTGAAGGATACATCGGACCCATCCTTCATTCAGGTGAAAAAAAGGCCGCATTCGTCGACCGCATTTGAAGGAGTCTTCGAATTGGGACAGGCCGAGTCGCGGCGCTGTGACGTAACCGGCCGACGAATCCGGGAGACGTAGGATGCAGACCCTGAATTGAGACACAGCCATTATCCACACAAATTTCCATTTTGATGTTTTTCTTTTGGTTACCAAATAACATAAATCTGGTTTTATCCAGATTCAATGATTATTGATATCAAACCACTTTTTTAATATCGTTAATCAGCTCTGAAAGCGTTGATCGCAATTTGCAGCTCATGTTTATTTTTCACGATCGGCCACGGATTTCTCCGTCAGCATTCTAGGAATCAAAACTAGGAATAAAAAAAACTTTAAAACGATTCCGGGAAAAACTAATGGTTGGAACCGGTTCCGCTCGATGCTCAACCCTACGCCTGAGCCCTAACTACCTGTAGCGGCTTTGAGTGGGCACAACCCGGGTTTAAAGCTTCATTCTGTGTTGGTGTGATTAATGATTGAAATATTTTACTTCCTGTAGAAATGTTAAAGCTAAATATTGGTAGAATGAAGGTTCCTGCTCTACATGAACTGGTACGAGCGTTCAGGTTAAACATGAATAATGGTGTGTGTGTGTGTGTGTGTGTGTGTGTGTATTTTTGTGTCATCAGGAAGTCTACCAGCTGGTTGCTGTCATTTACCACTATGGCCAACTATGGAGATGATTGCTTCTTCTATTACTATTCTACCTGCACAAGAGTAAGTGGTTTCAAATCCATTAGGCTGCTTTTATTTGGTTGTGATCAAAAGAAAGAGCATTATTTATGTTGCCTCTTCTGCCATTCAGGGTGACAGCTGCCCGTTCAGACACTGTGAGGCTGCTAGAGCTAACGAGATCATGTGTACCCTCTGGCAGGAAGGACACTGCTTCCACGAAGGCTGCAAGTTTCGCCACATGAAGATCACTGTGAGCTCCATTTTACATGATGGGTTGTTGTACACCTTTCTCTTATGTTTTACCCTCGAGTTGTGTTTTGGACAGAAGGGTTCATCGTGTTCTGGTGTGAACTTGGAAGGGGTGGGATGTTCATCCAGTTAATGCCGCACTTCCAGAGTGTTGTTCCTCTTTAAGTACTTTAATGAACTATTTGGCTGCTATTGGTTTTTAGTTTCACAATAAAAACAATACATGATAAATAAAAATCCATGGGTGCGTTTACATGCAGCCAGTAACCCTTTTAAAACCCGAATATTCACAATAACCCGGTTCCGCAAGTCCTTGTAAACACCGCCAAAAACCCGGATATGCAAAAACCCGGTTCCTACACCTGGGGTAACCCTTTTCTAACCTGAATGTTTGGTCGTGTAAACGCATATCGGGATATCCCCATCAAAGCGTGTGTTCTGCACATGCTCTGTTCGCAAGGAATCTTGGTCTTTTGAGTAGCGAGACGTCTTGTACGCGCCAGAACACCGGAAGTAAACAACAAGTTGGGGGCAAAATGGCGAGTTGTGGCACAGCACCACACTTTGAGTGACGAGGAAACTAAAGCGCAAACAAACGCGGTCGCTATCTCTTCCGAACTGGGAAACATGTTGTTGTTTTCACGGATACCGGAACTAGAAGAACCGGAAATGTCGCATATTGCGTCTGGACGTAGTCCACACGTCCTGACGCTACCCCAACGTCCGTATTTACATCGGGTTATGCAAGTTAGAAGTAACTCTTTCTATTTATGCTTGTTAACGGGTTATTCTGATCAACTCAGAAACCCGAATCCCGACCTTAACCCGATCATAACCCGGATATTGGCTGCATGTAAACGTAGTCCATGTTCACAAATCTGATGGATAATGGCTAAAAAGCCTCTTGGGGCTAGTCAAGCAGCAATCTCCAGATAAACTTTAACATCTAATGAAAAAAAAACCTGTACGCAAAACAAAATTGAAATGGGTGTTCTGTCATCTCATCGATTACGTTCAGGGTTTCCCTTTCATAGGCGTAGTCGTGGCGGGCCGCCACGGCTGAAATCCCACCGCCACGCCTACAAGATCCCAAGTTTTGTTGATTATTTTTTTTTGCGCCGTTTCCTGAAGAAGCAGCTGGAACTACTGTGTTGTTGCTTGTGATCACAGCCGGCAGGCAGCAAGGAGGAGGAGGCAGGGCAGGGTGGTTACAGCTAGGGATGAGCGTACGGATAAAGCATATTTGACGGATACGATGAAACGAGTAAAACTCGTAAATATCTGTTATTGTGCTGAAGGAAAATCCTCATTGGTAACTGACTTCACGCTCTGTGATTGGCCAGTCACATAGAGTGCCCACCCCTCCCTACACACAAAACTCTGCAGCCGGGAGCTCAGTCAGCTCGGCCCAGGCAACCATGCACACACACACAGTAACAAATCTCTGTACTTGCTTCACTGTTGCTCACGTTTCTTCAGTACTCCCTACGTTTTCTTCAGCTCGCCTCTTTTTCAGTTCAATATTTAAAGTTACTTTTTCGTAAGATACGTGGTGCTTTTGACAAGACAGAGCTGAAAACGGCTCGTGCATGCGTCGGTCACTGCCTCCGGTCGGGTTTTTAAAAATTATGTTCTCTCTCTCGCTCTCGCTCTCTCTCTCTCTCTCTCACTCACTCACTCACTCACTCACTCACTCACTCACACACACACACCTTGAAATCAACTCAACTTACTGTATACAGTAATCCCTCGCTACTTCGCGGTTCGTTCATCACGGATTCGCTGCTTCGCGGATTTTTTCTTTGGAGCATTTTTCAGGGGGAATTCGCAGATTCGCGGTATTTTTCACAGATTCGCGGTATTTTTCTATGCGAAATATCAAGAAATTCTTGGTTTTTTTTTCATCAATTTCATCATAAAATGCACTTTTTGTAATAAAACTAAAAACAACCAAGTAAAAAAATTTTTTTCTTGAGTTTTACCCACAAAAAGAGAATGTGATCATACGATAATTCAATAGGGAGCGTGGTTTCACAGACGCGGAAGTGATGGCGTCGGTGAAACGCCGGCTCACGATTAATCTAGGAAACCCCCGAGCGTTCGAGCGTCAACGAAGTGACACAGAAATGCCGGGCTTTCCAGAAGTAAGTAAGATAACTTACTATGAGCTGATAGTTCGTGGGATGGATCGGTAGGTTGGAAACTCTGGTCATGAATCTGAAGAAACGATGAGTGAGTGGTGAGCTGGAAAGGCGACTTCCGTTTATAGCCGCGGCTTGTGACGTAGGTGCGACGTGGAGGGAATCCCCGTGAGGGGCATGCTGGGAGTCCCTACTTCGCGGATTTTAACCTATCGCGGCCAGGTCTGGAACGCATCTACCGCGATAAACGAGGGATTACTGCATTTATAAAGCACCTTATAGGCACCACAGTGCTGTATAATTAAAATAAAACAGATAAAACCAGCAGGTACATTTAAAAACCAACAATATAAACATAACAGAATAAAAGCATGTAAAATAATCAGCAACAGCTAACCCACAGAAAAGCCAGATCATAAAAGTTGCTCTTTAACCTCATTTTAAAGCCCTCTACTGATGAGTAGAGCCTAACACTTCAGGGAAGGGCATTCCATAGTGTCGGACCCGCTACCGAGAACGTCCTATCCCCTTCTTTCTTCAGCCAAGCTCTGGGAACCGAGAGGAACGCGTGGCTGCAAAACCTCTGACACATAGGCAGGGGCCAACCCATTTATTGGCTTGAACACTATTAAAAGAAGTTTAAAACGACCTTAAAGGTTGCTTAACATTTCTTTCCCATCATGGTGGTGAAGTGGGATCATCCTGGAAGGTAGCAGTCGTGGTAACCTGGGTTGAGCTACTTGATCATCTCTCTGAAACCTTGATCAACGACTATGGACAGGAGTCTCGTGACCAACCTGCTCACAATGGCCTCGGTCAGGACGTTAGCTTGCTGAGGTGTGCACGTAACAAACTGGTCCACTGAATGCTTTGGCATTTAATTTTTCTTGGCATCTTGAAAATCTGGGGGGGTGTTGGTTGGGTGTTCCGTTTTGCCTTGGCCCCAAAATGCCTTGAAACAGCCCTGGGTGTGGGACTTGAGTTTTGAAGGTGATCTGAACTGTATCAGATGTGTAAATATTACATGTTTATAACTTATTACGTCATACAGGTAAAAACGTATAGTGGAGATAAATCTACCTACATTTTACTTTCAAACACTTTTTGTTTTCTTGTTTTTATTGAACTGTTTTCCTGTCCTGTCTGTCTCTCATCTTCCTGCATCTCCTCTAAACTCTCCAGAAAAACTGCTGCCTGGATTCTTACTTTTTCACCTCATCAGTTACTTTTGAGCAGATCAACGGGATCTCCTGACCGCAAAGCGGAGAGTGCGTTTCGATGCTGCGTCAGTGAGGTGACATCACCGCAGCACACGAATAGCGGAGTGCGTCAGGAACCATTAAAAATGGAATACCAGAGAATATAAACAGATATGAACGATCATGTGTTAATATCGTAAATCCTCTAATATTGGCCTGTATTCAACTTAAAGGCCCCGTGTGTGAAATTCACAGAAATCATAGTAAAAAGATCCGACTCTTTAGCACCAGGCAGTTTAGAGTCGGTATTGCAGCTATTGGAGCCCCCGAGGATCAAAAAGGATTTTTTTAATCATTATTTAAAACTTTATTAACAAATATAACAAATACAATACAAAATCGTGTTGCTGTAAACGGCAGCATGTCATCATCTAATTCCAGCTTTCAAGTCAGCGAACAGGTTAGTTGTTTTCATCTAACTTATTTTATTAATTTAATCTAAATAGGTTTTGAATAAGAAAAACTTTTTTATGTCAGTTATGTTTGCTAATAGCAAACGGCAGCTAGTTAGTGATGACTTCTGACTACAAAAAATGACAATATTTTGTTCATTTTATTTGAGAAATGTTATATTTCTATTTGCCATTTTGGAAATATACAAGGTAGTGTAGTCTGTAATTGTTTTCTCTCTGTAAACAGAGTCAGATATCATCCGATGGTTCATCAGTGGAGACAGACAGAGGACGAGGGAGAGGAAGAGGGAGAGGACAGACGTGTGCCAGCGCACAGAGAGGCAGAGGTGTTAGACATGCGACAGAAGCAGGGCAAGCATCCCAAGATGAAGGAGCCGAATTTGCTCAAACCAGCCGCAACGTCCCACGCACAAGAGGAAGAGGCAGAGCTGCAATAAAGTCTAGAAGATCGGCGCTTTCAAGCGCTTTCAAACTATCCCGTTTCTCAAGTTTGCTTGTAGAATATGTGTGATCCTCCATCGCTAGAAGTACGGTGTGGCTAGTTTCTTCTTCTTCTTAGTTACTTTGTCAGACTGCATGCTTACAAGGCGCACTTCTGCCCCCTGCTGTTTCTTTGAGGTTACATCATTTAAAAACACAAACATCAAATGCGAAGCTTAATATGTTGTATGTCCCTAAAAGGTCACTGTATTTTAAGATGGCGCATGCCATATGGAGCACCGGTCTGCTTCTTTTGTCTAAAATATTAAAATATAAAGCTAATAATAATGCTTAGAATAAATGCTTGTTTGAATTATCATTTAAAAAAAACAAATTTGAGAATGTGATACAAGAAATTTGATAACTTGTAAGATGAAATATCACACATTGGGCCTTTAACAGCCGTGTATCACATTTTGGCCAGTGTCTTCAGTCAGCGGAGGTGAATAATTGCCATTTTTTTTATTGTGGCTAGGTGGAATGTGGTACCAGGCAAGTACCACAGGGGGGCGGTTGTTTCATTCATCTCACTTTTGATTTGCCAGTGATAGACCGCGAGGGTAACTTTAACCATGGCAGGTGCGGAGCTGAAGAGGAGGCGAAAATTTGATATCAAGTTCAAAGAGAACGTGCTGATATATGCTGCAGAACACTCTGGGGAACAAGCTGCTAAACGTTTTAACATCGACCCAGGAAGAATCAGATACT